GAGGGAGCTCCCCTTATATAGGGCAATGCAAGCACAAGCTTGTTTCCATCCTACATGTATGGAGGATGAGTTCAGTGAGCCACAGCTGGCTCAAAAGATCTGAAAATATCTAAAAAGGAGAAAAAATGGCTGTTGGCCAGTTAAGGTGGCCGGCCGGCCACCTCCCCTAGCCGGCCGACCACTCCAAGTGGCCTATAAGAAAGAAAAGTGGCCGGCAAATGCCACGAGTGGCTGGCAGCCCTTCCCCTCCCTCAGGCAAGAAGCAACAAGGTTTGGCCCAAAAACCAAGGCCAAAACACAAAGTGTTAAGAAGCTCAAAGACAAGGCACTCAGCCGAGAACTTTGGGCGCTCGAAACAAGCACAAACATGCGCAATCATCGCGTGCACAAACGATGACGTCAGAGTCTTAAGGTCGGTCAAAAATGGGGTGTCTACATTAGAGTTTTAAGAATGTTTCTGTCATATGCTGTGTTGGTCTCAGAATATGGGAAATCTCACATAGAAGCAGTGTAGACGCGCCCCGAGGGCCTCAATGCTTCTACAGTTCGGACTCATATGTCACGGTTCTGAATCTAATCCCGCAAAGTGCAATGCGAGACCGATAAATCACCAAAGAGTCCAAATCCGGCAAATCATTTTGAAAAATTGATTTTTGAGAAAGAAATGCCAAACATGGACTGTTTTGCCAGATACAAAGTCGCCACCTAAATATTTTATTTTGGGAGAATTTAGGAAACCCTGACTCGTTGCCTAAGGCCATGTGTCCGTCGTCACCAAAGTTGCCTCGGCTCGGGAACTTGAGAACGATTGGGGAAGGTCATCCATGAGCACCCCCGCTCGCCCGATCAAAGATCGGCCTGTACTAAACATGATATTTTGTTTTTGAAAACACATGCGTTCTTATTCTGATTTTTAGCTAGAATTACTATGTGATGCGCACAACACACAAGTATAGACTAGATCGCCTAATTTGGAACAAAGCATCGCATATCTATTTGTTTGGAAATGGTTTGAAGCTTGCTACTCGCAAGTAGGCTAAAATGCGGATTTCAATGAATCGTTCCAATTCAAGTAATCCAACCTTCACCCACAGGCATTCAGGCAGTTATATCACATAAGCAATTAGCCTCATGGTAAACATGCTGTCATGTTAACATTTGCACACATGCAAGATGCTAAAGCATAAATACTTACAGTGTATTCCGAGCCAAAATAAGAAACCAGTTAGAAATCATGCATGATCCTAGTTCATGTTAAAATGACTAATGCATTGTATGCAAAGTGCAACTAGAATAAGCTCGGCTAATATAAGATGGCATATGAGATGCAACAGTTGATACACGTATTCAACTTGGAATTGAAATACAATGCAGTTAGTATGATCCGCCGAGCCCGGTGCATGCAATACAGATGAATGGATGCAAACATGCATAGCACAAGGATGCTAAATGAAATATACCCTAAAACTAACTATGGTAAGCGGTTAAGTAAAAAGGAGAAAGAAATGGAGGTTGGAAGACATGCATCACACACACGCACGCTTATTACACAATTGTGCCCTCTCGACGGAGGGACTGAAAGAATAATACAAATTACATAATTAACTAACTAACAAGCTAATTAATTATTACACAACACTTAACTAATTTAAACAAATCAATTAAGCTATGAAAACAGTAAAAACATCCTCGGGAAGAGGGATGCATGCGTGCTCGGACGGCTTTGCTCGGAAATCCATCGCCATGTCACATGTTGCCTCTGTTTACACTGCTCTGTACCTCTGAAAACTGTGCCAACTTCTGAACCACCTTGGGACTTTCTGAGAGTCCATCGGCCAAGAGATAGGGCCATCGGCCATGGCAAATTGGTCATCGACCAAATGTAAGTCTCTCGGCCAACAATGTTTAGCTGACCGGCACTAAAGATGGCCGACTGGTCATATCTTCCTGCAGAATGCTGTGTTGCTGCAGCAGAGGACAAACAGAGCATGGCAATACATTTACAAGGCAATGTTTGCACGACCACCCTCCCTATCATGTTAAGAACTCAAGGGAGTATAGTCCTCGACCCTCGGGCCACCAATCACGCATTTCAATGCATGATGACCAAAGGAGCCAAGTGTACAATTCAATATGGGATGAAATGCACAAAAACATATAAGGGGGCCCAACCTCTATCATGGTTGATCAAGAGGCAAGGGATGCAACCATGCAACCAAAACTAATGCAACATGAGCATGTTAAGGACAATGCCATACAAGGCTAATGGTAATAAGCATGCCAAATGCAATGCAACCTAGGCAAGCATGCAAACATGCAAGGCATGTGACAACATTCAAGGAGAGGCAAGCATGTAACAACATGTGGGGCAAGCATGCAACAACATGCAAGGGACAATGCATGCAAATATGCAAAGCAACTTAACAAAAGGCATGCCAAATGCGATATAACTCAAACATGCAACAACATGCAATAGGCCAAGTATGCAACAACATGCAAGGCAAGCATGCAACAACATGCAAATGATGGACTTAAACCAAAATGGACAGCTCTCAAATAGGCCCAAATCAGTGGCCAAAATGCAATGGAAATGAGGACAAAAACACATACAAATATGCATGCTTATTGGCCTAACACTTGAGCATAGTAGAGCAACTCTTACGCACACTTAAAAGAGGATAAACATGGACCTGTGACAAACACGTTGAGCTCTGAAATCATGCAAAGGATGATGCCAAATCAACCAAAATACACAAGCAAAGCATGCAAGAAAACTTAAAGCTTAAAACTAGTGAAGGGGCTCGAACCATGGCTACATGAAGCAAGCCCCAAAGGGCCACGGGGACCTAAAATAGTTCCAAGGTAAGTCTAAACAAGACTAAAAGCAAACTCGAAACTAGCCAACACAAGCTAGAACACAACGCCAAAACATGAGGCATGCAAAGGCTACCAAAGAGGGTGTTACACTACACCTATCAAAACCAAACATGGCATGATTTAAGCAATGAAAAACAAAGTTATGGCATGTCAAAGTAAGCCCAAAAACTCACTTAGATGGCATCCCAAAGACCTAAGCATGGTGGCATACGCAATGACACATTTATGAGGCATAAAACACAAACCCTTTAAAGCATTAAAGGAGTGACAAATGCAAGTACATGAGCATAATATATGGACTGAAATGATATTACAAGTGATGCCAAACCACTGAAATGATCCGAATAGAGCATGCTAGTGACTCAAACACCCAAAGCTAACAAGCTAGATTGCATGGTATCTATACAAAACAATGTAAGCATGACCAAAACAATGAAAAACAGAGCTCAAGCATGTTAAAACAAGGGTAGAAGCTTCATGGAGTTAAGCCAAAACATGCAAGCATAGTGGTCTAAATGCGAGATACATATTAAGGCAAATGAGGAGATTGCAAGGCAAGTATATGGTGCATGCAAGAGACCACTAAACCAACTTTAAACAGAGGTAAATCATGGCAAAACAACACCAAATACTTGCTGAAATGAAGCTAAAACAAGCTAGGCATACAAGCCACCAACATAAGCCACTTATGCTAGTATTCAAGACAACAAGGAGAGGGGATGACCCTCTCCTATTTAGGACACCAAAACCACCTCTCCACCGCTGAAAATCCTCTGGATTTCAGTGGTAGAGAGGCCAAGCAAAGCTCAAAGCAAGGGCCAAAAGGGATGGCCTAAAACAAGGCCTAACAAGGCCTTGGAGGGGGTAAACAACCCCAAACCTCAAAATGGCCTCAAACAAAGTTCAAAAGCAAGTAAAAAAAGAACTTTTATCAGTTAATAGCTAAGCCTAAAACAATAAGAAAGAAGGCCTAAAAGCCTAAGCAAGAAAGGGGTATCTAAAGCAAGAATGCTCACCCTTGAAGAACACCTTCAAGAACACAACGCCAGCACCTTTCTTTGATCAAAACCACTCCAAGAAACCTAACAACAACTCCTTAGAACCTCAGCAACCAAGAATGGTGTAATGCTAGGTGTTTGTGTGCAATAGTGTGAACAAAAAAACACTTTAGGTCACAAATACACACACAAATGATAGAGATAGGGAGATATAGAGATAGAGAGATATCATTTCTTCTAACCCTATTTTCAAAACCTCTAGAAAGAAAGAGAAGGCTCTCCTTTAATAGAAATCCAATTTTGCAAAGCTTCTTGGAGAAGCTAAGCAAGGCTCAAATCCCTCCATACACATGTATGGAGGGGGGAAATTGGGCGTGCTAGCTGTGCCAGCTGGCACAAAATATCTGCATAAAGTAGATGAACAGGGTTTGGCCAGCAAAAATGGCCGATCGACCAACACAATGGCCGGCCGACCAAAAACAGTGCCGATCGGCCAACACACTTGGCCGATGGCAAGAAAATAGGGCCGGTGGGCTCAAGCCTTGGCTGGTGGGTTGAGTGCATGGCAAAAAAGCCACCTTCTTCCCTTAGAAGCAAAAACACAAGTGTTTGGTTCACAACCAAGCACAAAACAGACAAGTTGAGAGATCTTGAGGCAAGGCGCGTAGCCGAGACCTCCGAGAACTCAAAACGAACACGAGCATGAATGATCATCGAGTGTTCAAACGATGACGTTCAAGTCTTGAGGACGGTCAAAAATGGGGTGTCTACAAGCAGCAATCCTATTTTATATTTTATCCTTTGGCTATCATTTCGAACTAGGATTGTTTAGAGGCTAAAATTAGGATTTCGGAGAACTTTTTATTTTTGCTTCCGTAGTTTCTATCCTATTAATTTTCGTAAGCAAGAATAAATTGATTGGTATTTAAGTACAAATTCGAAGTATTTGATGCTGTCTTTTGGTTCTTTAAATTATTGATGTTTTGATGGGTTTTTTTTTTTTTTTTCCCTGTCCCTTCTCACAGAGGTGGTTGTGAGCCCTCCGTATATGTTCTTACCATTGGTAAAAGATTTGTTGAGGCCTGATTTTCACATTGCTGCTCAAAATTGTTGGGTCAAAAAGAGAGGTGCTTTCGCTGGTGAGGTTAGGTATGGTTCATCATGCTCTTAATAATCTGTATTGCATTGGCAAGAGTTGAATTAATTAAAGGCATTCAGTTGCTCCTTTAGAATTGTCATTTGGAATGTTGTAGGAGGTTTCTTGTGTTATGGCTCAAGGATAAGTAATCAACACGTATTATTTGAGTATCATGTCCCAATTTGAAAGATGAGGTATTTCCTCATGCACCATTAGTCCCACCATGATCCTTCTTTCGAGAAATGGTTTCATATATTTCTAATTTTAATTTTATGAATTTACTTCAGCATCCCATTTCCTAGTTTAGTCTTATTTAGAGTTATTATAACTTTTTCTATAGCTATCCATTTTCACAATGTTCTTCAAATTTCTTCAATGCAAAAAAATTAAGTTGATTCTTTTGAATGTGCAGTGTAGAGATGCTCGTCAATATGGGCATTCCTTGGGTCATTCTTGGTCATTCTGAGAGGAGGGCTCTGTTAAATGAATCAAATGAGGTAACCCTTGTTTCATTCATGGTGCAACGATTATTCGTTTATGATGATGCCAACTGTGTTGTTGATTATTATTTCACATGTTCATAATTTGGGACATTTTCATTTCAGTTTGTTGGAGATAAGGTTGCATATGCTCTTTCTCAAGGTTTGAAGGTAATTGCTTGTATTGGAGAGACTCTTGAGCAGCGAGAATCATGATCTACCATGGATGTTGTTACTGCACAAACTAAGGCAATTTCAGGTACTTATTTCAATGTTGTTTATAAAAACTTGTGCAACATACTTTAAAACACTTTTGTATATTGTCTACTTGTGGATATCAGTTGCCTCTATGGTTTTCTTGTGAAATAAGCTTATGAATGCACACTACCACTATTTTTGCTTGAACTTGTAGCCTTGCATGCGTGAGTTAACGTTCCTCTTTATTTCTGATGATAATACTTTCATAACTTGATTTGCCACAAGGTTCCTAGAATCTGAGTCAGTGGGTTTCTGGTTTTCTAAATGGAGCTGACCTGAATGTTAAGTTATTTTACTTCTCTCTGATGTAGAGTAGAACTATAGGGGATTCACTCTAAAATTTCTAGAACACCTTGTTCACCTTATGGTTGAATCATCTGAGAAAAATGGAACGAACTAGGGTTTAGGGTTTATATTCAGCTGAGAATTGGCCTCCTGCTAATGCACGATAAAACCTATCTCTGCAGTAGACTGGCCTTCCGTCAGCAGCTGCTGCTAGATCATCATCAGACTTCACCTCCACCGGCAATCTCAGCAGCTCATCTTTTCTATATATTTACATAGACATAGCAATGGCAAAATAAAAGCAACATCAGTATATCTAAGCTATAGATTTGAAACTAAATCTATTTAAATACCTTATATTGTTTTTTTTTTGTTGATCTTTGAAGCTAAAACATTGAATGAAATCCTTTACTGGGGTAGCAAAGATAAATAACACTGCTAAAACTAGCTCATTGCCGAGAAGATGCCAAGTATGTCAATTGCTTTCCTGTCTTCATTAGCTCATTGCCGAGAAGATGCCAGAGTTGCTGGATTTTGATAAGGATCTCGTTCATTTGGAAACAGCCTCTAAGGTTTGCATTTTTCTTAATGTAATATGTGAATGAGGTGTCTCTAGTTGATTTGTACAATTTATTGCTTGTTCCATCTGCATATCAAATGGCCAGATCCAATTGAAGTCTTTAGCTGAAAAAATGCAAGCTGTGAGTGAAGTCTTGAAAAGATTGAGCAGGAACTCACTGCTTCAGAGAATGATGGTGCCATCTCTGCAAGCTTCCAAAAGGTAGGGGACATACTTGGGACACTAGGTTACTTCTTCTTCTTTTCTTTTTTTTCTTTTTTTTCGCAGATTTACGTTGGATCTTCATAGATGTGCATAATTATAGTTTCATGACAAAACTGGTGTATGTTTGTTGACAGTGATGCTGAGATATAAAATAAAGGGGATTTGCCAATATTGAAATTTTAATCTTAGTGGAAAATTCAGCAGTAAATTTGGTTTGATTTTTCTTTTGTTAAAATCTGCAAGTTCTTGCTTAGTTAAGTATACTGACACATTTATCTTGCAGGGGAAGCGCAGTATTTTAGAGATGTATCTGTATGTAGGTTAGATTAGATGATGGAAGTGAAAATGCTAACATATTTTTCATTGCATGAGTCTAGCTAACTTGGTTAAGAGCCAAATTTAATTAAAATATTTCTAACAGTGTTACCAAAAAATGCTAATGCCTTAGAGACTTAGGGCTTTAAGTTTATAAGCTAACACTTGGTTTGTTCACAAGATGCCGCACTTTATAAGCTGCTGTTTTTGTTTGGATGTGCATACGGCTAGACAAGGTTATGTTCTTGTGCGTGTGTATATATATATTAAAAATAACTTTCTACGGCATGCAAAATTATGCCGTGAAAAGTGTAATAATTTATGGCATGTAAGAAAATGTCATAAAAGATTATATACGGCATACAAAGTATGTCATAAATATATTAAAAATGACCTTCTACAGCATACAAAATTATGTCGTGAAAAGTGATGATTTATGACATGCAAGAAAATTCCGTAAAATACTATATACGACATACAAAGTATGCCATAAATATATTAAAATTAACCTTCTACGGCATGCAAAATTATGCCACAGAAAGTATGATGATTTATGGCATGACAAAAATGTCATAAAAAGTTATATACGACATACAAAGTATGTCATTAATGTTTAATTTATTACTTTTTACAACTTTACCTGCATGCCGTAAATGATGCTCAACTTTCCACGGCATGTCATATAACGGCATTTGTGTGCATGTCGTGAAAGAGTTTTTACGGCATGCATCGCAAGCCGTATAAATTCAATTTTGTTGTAGTGTATATCCATTGTAAATTTGTGTGTGTGAGTGTGTGTGTGTGTGTGTATGTTTTTTTAAGAACATATAATTGTTATTATTCATTTTAAATCTGCAGATCTTGTGCTTTTTGTTATTGTGATTCTTCATTTTGCTTTGAATTTCTGGATGTTGAGTGGAATAAATTGCATATTAGCAATTACAATTATTTTGTTTCCTTTCCTTATTCTGGATCTTCAGTGGGGTAAATCTGTTTCAAAATAACATGAGTCTACTGCCTCAAAGAAATGAGTGAATTGCCCAGTGAATTGTTACTGTTTGTTTGTCCAGGTTCCATTTTAAGTTTAGGGAAAATAATATTTTCTTATTCTTGTAACTGCAGACATCTAAGTTCCATGTAATATAATCTTGTCCTTGATCAAAATGTTGGAAAGTTTGATGCATTAACAGTCAGTGAACCTTATCAATTGTTATAGTAATTCTAGCACCACTTTGCCCCTACTTCCATGCATTAGATGTTTTAGTTGTTTTGGTTCCTAAATGTAATTATCAAACACTAGATTTAGTGGATTTTAATGATATTGTTGCCTGAAGCTAATTTGGATTTAGTGGATTTTAGTGAATGAATAAAAATACCAGATTTAAACACTAGATTTAGTTGCCTGAATGTCCCAGTTGCCTAAAGCTAATTATCAAACACTAGATTGAGTGGATTTTAGTGAATGGATAAAAATACTGAAGCTAATTTGAATTTTAGTAAAATCAAACATGAATCATAAACACACAACACCCACATACACAGAGAATACACAATGGTATTTAGGCCATTAGTTCCTTTATTAAGAACTGTTATGCATGTCTAGTCTTAGAATTTATTATTGAAGACTTATTAAAATTTATGATTTATTTTCACACCATGGTATTTAGGCAATGGCAACAACAGTACACAATGATCTGCCCATTGATGATGATGATGTTGTTGTTGAAGTTGGTAGAGGAAACAGTGGTCCATGGCCTCAGGCAAATGAGGCTCTTTTCATTACCCTCATGGATGAGGAGGTCAAAACCATGAGTAGTAAAATAATTGGGACATTCACTAAACAAATGAACGCCAAAATCCAATACCAATATAACGCACACCAACTTCGGAACAAATACAATCAGTTGCGTATTATGTTCAACAAATTTACAGTATTACTGAAACATACTGGTGTTGGTTGGGATAGCCAACGGCTTACTATCACTGCACCGGATGACGTTTGGGAGGCCCTTTACAAGGTTTTATTAACTTTTTGCATTTTGTTTGCTACATTTAATGGGGAATTCTTCATGTTAACCTGAAATTCATTGGTTTATAGGTTAATAGGCATGCAAAGAGGTTCAGGAAGAAAGGGACGATTTACTACCACGAGTTGTCTCGTATCTTAGGAGACACATCCACAACTGGTAAACTGGCTCACCCTTCCACCAAATCACCTTTTGAAAGTAGTGCTAGTTCTGATTCTGAATTTAAGGTAAAGAATAAGGACTTAGATGCATTGCAAATTGATAGTGATAATGACAATAGAGATGGCCAAGGCAAGTGCAAGGGCAAAAGCAAAATGGCAGGTAGAAAGAGTAAGAAGAGGAGCTCTTTTCAAGCTAATATTTCTGAAGCACTCAAAGAAATGAGTGAAAATAGCAAGAAGAATGTGGACCTAATGGAAAAAAAATTAACAAGTGCTTCAGTTACTAATGTTGGCGATGACAGTGGTTCAATTAAAGGTGGCTCTACTGCCTCACGTTCACTACTGAAAGAGTGCATAGCACTATTGCATGCTATGGAGGAAATTCCTGCACCAGCTTACATTAAAGCTATGAACAAGCTTGCATCGGATCCCATGATAAGGGAGGTATTTGTTGATATGCCTGCTGGTAGGATGAGGGATTAGGTCCTTAATCTTTGAAAGTTATTCTCAGAGAGTTCAAGCTTTGTGTGGTATGTCTTTGTGTTGTTTTATTTACTAATAATGTTGGATAATATTTGGTAGTTCAATATGTTAGTTCGTATGGATGTTTTCATGGTATTTGCTGATTCAGTGTATTGCACTTTTTATTTTATTTTGTTTGTTTTAGAATTATTTATTATGGAAACAGAGTTGGGTGTATGCAGCATGTTTTTAATATTGTACTTGAATTCTATTAAATTGTGAGTTGATGGGTAGATATCAAATTGTTGACGATGCACTTGAATGCTACTGATATATTCAATGAATGTTACTGTTATATTCAATGATCTTGAATGCTATTACAATGGGAGTTGATGGGTAGTTGAAGTATTGAACACAAACAACCCAACTTGAATGCTACTGTTATATTCAATGATCTTCTCCTATATAATGCTTGTTAGTGGTAATTCTATGTTGTTGTTGTTGTTGTTGTTTTTTTTTTTTTTTTTTTAATCAAGAGTCCAACAAAGCTTCTGCATTGTCAACAATTGGAAAAGGTATGTATGTGACACCTGAGTTTTTCGCCCTGCTCGAGCGTAGATCTTTAGCTCCCAGTAAATGGTGACTTTGCAGACGGCCCGCTCGAGCGGAGGAGTTACTGCTCGAGAGTGAAGTGCATGCTCCCAGTAGTTCCTCTGTAGCTTTGCAAAACTTCTGTGACATGTTCTTCTCCGCTCGAGCGAGGGAGTTTGCACTCGAGCGGGACCACTTATTTGTGCCTTACGCTCAAGTGGCAGAACTCGCGCTCAAGCAACTTGTCGAGGACAGCAGATTTTAAATAGCGATTCTAAGTCATTTTCTTGGCACTTTTCCACTATCCCTCTCTCTAACTCTACTTTTTCTCAAACCCTAGCTTACAAGTCCATAGATTTCTTCAATCTTAACTCAAGATTCACCCAAGATCTTCCAAGATTAGTTGTAAGAGATGCTAGATCAACACTTTCACCGATTGTTTTGCTAGATCATCGAAGCACGAGCGTGTGTTGCCATCCTTGCATACTACTCAAGGTAAGGGTGTCTTTAACTCTTTATATCTTCTATTTGAGTAGCTTATGCGGTAATTTCATTAGCTATCCATGTGTGTAAATATGCATGTATGTATATATGTATGTATTGATTTAAGTTTGTTGATTAAAGATTGAGAACAATGCGGGTGAGATTTTGTGATTGTTAAAGGAATTACACTTACTATGATGGAATGTCATTAATTATGATGGATAATTGACTCAATTTCATAAAGGAGAGAAAAACCCCAATTTTACTCAAACCCTAGTTTTCAAAAATTTAAATTATAAAAAGGGTTTTGCTCAATTGATTTCTAAAACATGAAATTGAGTGTAATTACTTGATTTTGAGATTGAAATGTAAGATTGTATATTTCTTCTTAATGTAAACTTTGAGAAAAAGATGATGATTGCTTGATGGTAGATCCTTGAATTATGGAATGTGAAGAGGTGGATTATTATGGGTTG